CTTCAGTGAGCACGGTTGTCGCATGCAGTTTTTTTGAGTATACGACTCATTTGATCACAAATATGAAGAACGGTTATTACAGATTAATCACTCGGCTTGTTGAACTTTGTTTGTGGGTTAGCCTTTATTTTGTGCTTGTTACAGAATGACACAAAAAGGAAGCAAATAACCCATTCCTGAAATCCTCATATAAAAATTAAAACTCCTTGTACTTGTACTACATTACATGAGACGTTTATTTCAACATAATCAGGAGAAATTCGACAGTTTAATCCGATAGCATCTACACAAACGAGTCTAGTTTGATCTTGTGACAGCTATTGGAAAATCACTTGTCGAAATACGACGTTCCCTATTCAAAAAATAGTATTTCCATGTTCTTTCAAGCGAGAAACACAAAACGAGCGTTCTGTGAAATCGCTCTTGAATGATGTGGTCAGTGGAATATTGCAGTCGATTGCAAAAGTGCATCTCAAAATGGGTTAATCGAGGCGAGAANACCTTACTCATTCTTTTTCTCTACACTCCGTACCATCGAGCAAAGGGCCAGAAGCTTATAGAGGCTGATTGGGTAAAACTTCTCACATTACTCTTCTTTGGGTTACGAATCTCCTTCACAGAGAGTTCTCATTCACTGAAGGAACCCCAGCCAGTAAGCGACGAGGCTACGTAGGGCGTCCCCAGGTGGCGGATAGGGGGAATAATCGCCGACCAAAAGTCGCCAGTACTTGCCCAATGATTCGGAGGATGGACTCCCTGATTCTGCTGTGCTGGTACCTTCTGTTTCTAGCAGGCGTATGAACGTATACGTGTGTGGAGAGTCTGTGGGTGCAGTTGGTATCCTGCACACTGCACGACTCAGCCACTTGCATTTGAGTGACTGGGAAGTATCTGGGAGGCGATTCAGGGAAGCATCCAAAAACAAATCCACTCGTTCAAACTTCGGTATAACCTGGCAAGCCCCCGGAGTCGACCCAGCATCCACGTCAGAGCCTGACAAGCTTTACGATGGGTATTCACTTGCCAAAACAGTATTGAAAATGGGCCTCATTCCCCTGAGTCTGAGGGAGCCCCCAATACGGCAGCGTTGGGTAGGACCGCTCGGGAGAGGCTGCTAAAATCTCAGGGCCAAAACAGGCTGCCTAAACGGAGAAGGACTTGGATGGCATTCTGTACTTTTGGCGCACGGACTCTTGCGTCGGAAGAGTGCATAGAAGACCTGTTGATGCGAGCTAGGAAGATCAAGTACAACGTCATCGGACTGACCGAGGCGAGAAGGCGTCGCGCGCTGAACACTGTATTTGAGACTGAAGAAGAACTGTTCCTTGGAACATGCGACAGTAGAGGCGTCGGCGGCGTAGCTGTCCTCGCCAATACGCACTTGGCCATTAGCATTGATTCGTACGCAAGCCTAACAACCCAAATCGGTTGTTCGCGATTAAGAAGATGTGGCTCAACCCCAGCTCTGACCATCTTCGTTGCCTACGCACCAACATCGAGCTACGAAGAAGAGGAGTTGGAAGGGTTTTATATGGATCTGGAGAGCTTCTACAGAAAAGACCACATTTTCTTCAAGGTCATCGACATCATGTCAACCCACACCACCATGATAACTCGCAGTTCCAAGAGCCCTCTCATTTAAGACGAACATGGGAGTCACCTGGTGGACAGTTCCAATGAGATAGACCACATCATCTTCAATAGGAGATTTTGCCTGACCGACGTCGCTGTTGTTCCGAAGTTCTACACGGGATCGTACCATCGTCTCCTTCGTGCTAGATTCTGCTTCATAGTGCGTGGAGAAAGAGCTATGAGTTCAGGAAACGAAGCCCCAAGACCTCCATAAACTGGGACCACTCGCTTCTCTTGCGAGTGAATGGGAAGATTCCGCTATCGATAACATCGATGAAGAATACAACCGACTCGTCGAACCACTTCATGATAGCGCCAGGAAAGCAGAACCTACAAGTAGCCAAGAAACGACTCTCTTCGAAGACTCTCAAGCCGATACGCCAGCGTGGAATCGCGCAATCGCAATAACGTCCGAACTTGCGAAGCTATGCGTAGAAGCGATATAGGAAGATCTGAAAGAGAGAAGAGCAGCAGATGTGGTCAAGCTGCCGAGGCCGGGAGGAGCATTCGCAGAGCCCGAAGAACCTTCGCCAATTACAGGACCGAGATGATTCCCTTGGTCGTCCTGACGGAACAGTTACTGCATCTCGAAGGTTAATGGAGAAGGTCACCTACGACTTCTACTCGAATCTCTTCGATAACCACGTCTACCTGCCTACCCACCATCTTAGGCAAGACCAATATATTGCTCCTTCTCTTCTCCCTTCCGAAATTCGACATGCTATCACTTTCATGAAAAATTGTACGGCGCCCGGTCCCGATAGGATCAAACCAAGACATCTGAAAAGTCTTCCACAAGTTACCGTCAGAACTCTGGCTAGGCTGTACACGTGGTACCTGTCGGAATGCAAAGTGCCCACGTCGTGGAAAACTAGCAAGACTGTGTTGCTGCATAAAAAAGAAGATCCAGTCGATATTGGGGTGAGAATGTAGTTGGGGCCACCCACTCAAGGGCCAGTATATCAAGAAATGAACCCAGTCTAACGTGATAAGCCTTATTATGTTAGAACTGTATCAGATGCGAAACGGATGATGGGAACCGGCTGTCTGTGCGCTTTTATGCGGTTTGGCATAAAAGCGCACAGACAGTCGATTTCCATCATCCTCTTCGCATCTGAAGTTCCAGTCTTCAGAAGTTAGTTTTTCTAACTGAGCCTAAGTAGGGTAGGAGCACTTGGGTGGGTGGGATGATTACCTCGTGCTAAAAAAAAGAAAAAAATGAAAAAAACTTGTCCACCGCGATGCTCCTTCCTTACTAAAGCCCTTACATGAAAACTGGCGTGTCCTTGATATAACACGAAATAACACGTTTCACTGAGTTCATTCCTTGTTATACTAAGACTGTGATAGGTGGAGCTCCCAAGTACATTCTCACCCGATATTGGCAATTAACGCTCGATCTACCTGTTGTCCCTAATCTACAAGCTTTTCATTCGCGTCATCCTGAACAGGATCGGCAGAATATTAGATAAAGGGCAGCCATGCAAGCAAGCAGGGTTTTGGGGAGGGTTCAGCACAATCGATCATATCCACACTACGACAACAAGACTCATTGAAGTATCGCGAGGGTACAAAATGCTAATATGTCTTACGTTTATCGACTTGAAGAAAGCCTTTGATATCGTTGAAACAAAATCGGTTCCTACTCAATATAGAAGGATGCTTGGTGAGCTCTACGACAACCTCACGACCGAGACATCACCAATCTACAAGGAAGCCATTATCAACGTGAAGAGAGGTGTCCGGCAAAGCGATACCATTTCGCTCAAACTTTTCAGTGCCGCTCTTGAGAATATCATGCGTCATATAGAATGGGAAGACTTGGGAGTGAAGGTCGACGGCCGCTACCTACATCACCTCCGCTTTGCAGACGACATCGTGCTTATAACACCAAACATCGAGCACGCGGTACGAATGCTGGTCGAGTTTGACAGTGCTTGTACAAAGATCGGTTTGAGATTGAACTTAACGAAGACGATTTTCATGAAAAACGGATTGGTACCTGATGCGCCCTTCACGTTAAACGGAACGAGTATCTCCGAATGCTCTAGCTATGTGTATCTAGGTCGGGAAGTCAACATGACGAACGATCTAGCTCCGGACCTGTGCAGAAGGAAACGCGCCGGGTGGGGAGCATTCAAGAATATCGAGGAAGTAAAGAAGACAAAGAACATCTGGCCCCGCGCTCACCTTTTCTAGACTGCTGTCCTTCCTGCTTTGAGGTACGCCTCGGAGACCTCGACTCCACGAAAGCAGGATGAGCATGCTGTTAGCGTTACTCAACGCGCTTTGGAGGGGACGATGATCGGAATTCCCCCATATCCGCAAGTGCAGAAGGGAATCCGGAG